TACAGATGTGGCAGAGCGACTTTATGGGGACATGAGCTTCATTAAGGTGAAGTTTTTGCCTCCTAATACCACTCCTCTCCTGCAGCCCATGGACCAGCAGGTTATTGCAAACTTCAAAAAACTGTACACAAAAGCTCTGTTTGAAAGGTGCTTTGTAGTGACCTCAGAAACTCAACTGACTCTAAGAGAGTTTTGGAGAGAGCACTTTAATATCCTCAATTGTGTAAACCTTATAGGTAAGGCTTGGGAGGGAGTGATTAAGAGGACCTTGAACTCTGCTTGGAAGAAACTGTGGCCAGAATGTGTAGACCAAAGGGATTTTGAAGGGCTTCAGGCTAACCCTGAGAGGAGTATGCCAGTTGAGGAATCCATTGTGGCATTGGGAAAGTCCTTGGGGTTGGAGGTTAGTGGGGATGATGTGGAAGAGTTGGTGGAGGAGGACAATGAAGAACTAACCACTGATGAGCTGCTAGATCAACTTCAACAGCAAGAGGCCAGACCTGAGGAAACTGGTTCGGAGGAGGGGAGAGAGAAATTGAAGAAGTTGCCTACTACAAAGATTAAGGAAATCTGTGCAATGTGGCTGAAAGTGCAAACCTTTATGGATGAAAATCACCCTCACACAGCTATTGCAAGCCGTGCTGGTGACTATTACACTGACAATGTTGTGAAACACTTTAGGGAAGTCATAAAGGAACGAGAGGTACAGGCCACTATGGACAGATATGTTGTGCGACAGAGATATGTTGTGCGACAGAAGTCCAGTGACTCTGAAGCTGGTCCTAGTGGCATTAAAAGAAGAAGGGAAGTAACCCCAGAAAAGGACTTGACACCTCAAGTCTTAATGGAAGGGGATTCCCCTTCTAAACACTAAGACTCTCTCCTCCTCCCATCCCATCAATCATCACCAGATCTTCAATAAAGGTAAGTGTCATGTAATTGTGCATGCCTTTTTCAGTTTGTGTGTATTAAAATTAATATTTCACGTGGTAAAAATTTTTTTTTTCATACTTTGGGGTGTCTTGCATGGATTAATTTGATTTCCATTATTTCTTATGGGGAAAATTCATTCACATAACGATAATTTTCGCATAACAATGAGCTCTCGTGAACGGATTAATATCGTTATGCGGGGGTCCACTGTATTCGGAATAAGTAACGTTTTTTTTTTTTTGTCAAAATATTGGCTCAGTGATCGTCACTGAACTCGGTATTAGTCATTCATCCGAAACGTGTCCGTGCAGTCTGAGAGGTCCGATCCCACACATTCATACGATACATTTTGCATTATTCTCTTCTTTTTAGTGCTTGTAACTGCTAAATAAGCCACCATGGGAACAAAGAAAGCTTCTAGTGCCAGCCCTTTGACAAAGAGGGTGAGAAACACTATAGAATTCAAGAAAGACATCACTGCAAAATATGAAAGTGGAGTGCATGTTGCCGAACTGGCCAGGTTGTATAAAAAATCCCACACGACCATCACTTCTATCGTGGCCAAGAGAAAGGAAATCAAGGAAGCTGTTGTTGCAAAAGTTGCAAATATGCTTATAAAACAGAGATCACAAATACTCAAAGATGTGGAGACTTTGTTGCTGGTGCGGATCAACAAGAAACAATTATCAGGAGATAGTGTTATGCAGTCAATAATTTGTGAAAAGGCAAGGCAGTTGCATGATGATCTCAAAGAAATCCCTAGAACTAGTGCTGATATTGGTGAATTTAAGGTCAGCAAAGGCTGGTTTGAGAGATTTAAGAAGTGTAGTGGCATACACAGTGTGATAAGGCATGGTGAGGCTGCCAGTTCTGACAAAAAAGTGGCTGAAAAATATGTTCAGGAATTGAAAGGGTACACAGAGGCTGAAAAGTTCAAACCACAACAAGTGCTCAATTATGACGAAACAGGCCTCTCATGGAAGAAAATGCCAAAGGGGACCTACATTATTCAGGAGGAAAAGGTACTCCCAGGACAAGCCTATGAAAGACAGGCTAACTCGCATGTTTTGTAGTAATGGTAGTGGGGATTTCAAAGTGAAGCCTTTACTGGTGTATCACTCTCAAAATCCCAGTGCTTTCAAGAAAAACAGTGTTGCCAAACAATAGTACACCTTCATCCTCTCCCCTCCCCTCTGCAGGTTTCATTGTTTTCTGTGTAGAGAAATGTATATTTCATGTAAAAAAATTATTTTTATTTTAATACTTTTGGGTGTCTGGAACAGATTAATTGGATTTCCATTATTTTTTATGGGGAAAATTACTTCGGAAATCGTCAGATTTGGGTTTAATCACTCTCTCTGAAACGGATTAATTACAAAAACCGGGGGTCCACTGTGCAAGGTTTTATGGTAATTCATTTCACAAACCCAGAAGTGCAACTTATAATGTACATTGGACTTGAAGAATTGGTATGGGTAAGGGTGGATTACTGATTTGAAGGCGACTTCTTCCAACCACTGCCTCTTTGATATACATTGGTATACCTTTGAAGAGTTTTGAGAGTTCATCTACTCTCTGAGCCCAGCCATGGGCCAGGCTCATCTGGTACTTGCCTGATCAATCAGGCTGTTGCTGCTGGAGGCCCACTGCCGAACATATCCATCACAGCCTGGTTGATCTGGCACCTGGTCAAGATACTTGTCCAGTTTCCTCTTGAAGGCTTCTAGACTGGTTCCAGCCATGTTTCTGATATCCCCTGGTAAGATGTTGAACATTCTAGGACCCCGGATGTTGATACAGTGTTCGCTTGTTGTCCCCACCACACCCCTGCTCCTCACTGAGTTTATTTTACACTTCCTCCCATATCTCTCACTCCAGTATGTTATGGCAGTGTGCAGATTTGGAACCAAGCCCTCGAGTACCCTCCAGGTACAGTATATATTATCATGTACCTCTTTCTCCTCCGCTCCAATGAATACATGTTCAAGACTTGCAGGCGTTCCCAGTAGTTTAGGTGCTTCACGGGCTCAATGTGAGTGAAACGATCTCTATTTGTTCCAGCTCAGATATTTCTCCTGCTTTGAATGGGGCCGTCAGCACTGAGCAATATTCTAAGTGAGGGAGCACTAGCGATTTGAAGGGTCACCATCGGCATTATTTCCCTTCTTCAGAAAGTTCTCAGTACCCACTCCGTCATCTTCCTGGCTGTCGTGATCTGTCTTGTTATGGTCTCCATAACAGTGCTGATATAATTATTCCTAGGTCCTTTACATGTTCCTTACGTTCTATTTGGTGACCCTCTTGAGTTTTGTATATAGTGCTCCTTTTGAGTTCTTCATTCTTTCCATACCTAAGCAGCTGGAACTTATCACCACTGAACGTCATGTTGTTCTCCACTGCCCACCGGAAAACCCTGTTTATATCTTCCTGTTCCTTTTCAGTGTCCTCTACCATACTGACTTTCATGCTTATTTCTGTGTCACCTGCAAATGATACAAAAGTGTGCCGGGTGTTTTTGTCTATGTCTGCTATGAGGATGAGAAACAGCAGAGGTGCCAGGACAGTGCCTTCGGGCACTGAGCTTTTGACCTCGCTGATGTTGGATCTTGCAGTGTTCACTACTACTTTTTGTGTTGTGTGTGTTAGGAAACCGAAAATCCATCTGCCTACCTTCCCCGTAATGCTCTGGAAAATGTACAAAGGAGGATGACAAAGTTGATCCCATGTATCAGAAACCTTCCCTATGAGGATAGACTAAGGGCCCTGAATCTGCACTCTCTAGAAAGACGTAGAATTAGGGGGGATATGATTGGGGTGTATAAATGGAAGACAGGAATAAATAAAGGGGATGTAAATGGTGTGCTGAAAATATCTAGCCTAGACAGGACTCGCAGCAATGGTTTTAAGTTGGAAAAATTCAGATTCAGGAAGGATATAGGAAAGTACTGGTTTGGTAATAGAGTTGTGGATGAGTGGAACAAACTCCCAAGTACAGTTATAGAGGCCAGAACGTTGTGTCACTTTAAAAATAGGCTGGATAAATACATGAGTGGATGTGGGTGGGTGTGAGTTGGACCTGATAGCTTGTGCTACCAGGTCGGTTGCCGTGTTCCTCCCTTAAGTCAATGTGACCTGACCTGACTAGGTTGGGTGCATTGGCTTAAGCCGGTAGGAGACTTGGACTTGCCTCGCATGGGCCAGTAGGCCTGCTGCAGTGTTCCTTCGTTCTTACGTTCATTTTGTGCGCTATCACTCCATGATCGCATTTGTCAAATGCCTTTGCAAATTCTGTGTAAATCACATCTGTGCTTTGGTCGTCTTCCAATGCCTCCGTAATTCTGTCATAATGGTTCAGCAGCTGTGACATACATTATCGTCCTGCTCTAAAACCATGCTGGTTCGGGTTATGTTGGTTGTGCTGGTTCATGAAATTTGTAATCTGCCGTCTCATCACTCTTTCGAAGATTTTTATGTGAGAGGTTAGGGCTACTGGTCTAATTTTTAGCTAGTGCTCTACTACCTCCCTTATTCAAAGGAGCGATGTATGCACTCTTTAAGGCCTCTGGTATTTCACCAAGATCTAAGCTCTTTCTCCAAAGAATACCGAGGGCTCATGCTAGTGGTACTTTGCACTTCTTTATAAATAGAGCATTCAATGAATCTTTTCCAGGTGCTGAGTGAGTGGGCATGTTTCCCATTTCTTTTTCAAAATCTATGGGATTTGTACTAATGTCAATTAGTTGGTCTGCGCGGCCTTCTTCTCGGAGGAAAAAAAAAAAAATGTTTGTTTCTGTCGCTTTCTTCTGAAGCTCTTAAAATAAGATGAAGCATCATCTTCAAAAACACAAATTGAGTTCAGTTTTTTTAATGTCTGAGTGTTTTCCTGCTGAAGTCTCTACAAAACACTTGGCAAAATAGATTCTTGGTGTAAATCTTCTTGAAATTAGCAATCATTTGCTGGTTCATAGACTAAAGCAGAGCAGTGGTGCTGGGTTTGAGGAATCAAACAAACAAAATTCACTAACTCATCAATCACACACACTACAACTTTCAGTATTCTAACTTACCTTGAACCAAGAAAGTGACTCGGATGCTAGGACAAACCAGTAATCACGTGAGCCACCCTTCATAAAGCCAAGGTTGGAAATTGACATGTAGCCTTTGCGTATTACTTGATTTCCCAGTTTACGACCTGACTTGCTGGGGTTCTCACTAGACTGCTGGGCACTAAAAGTTTGCAAGGGTAAAAAAAAAATAAGAGCCCAATTAATAATTATGTAAGAAATATATTTTTAAACCATATGCAATTAAGTATGTATTTTTTTTTTTTAGTTTACTCATGGAAATGCTTCACTGTATATTTTTAACACTTTCTTAAATGATAATTTACTGAAACATTTGTAATAAATATTTATTACACATTCAAATATTATTATTGAAGGTGCACACATACATTTGTGCTATAAGAAACTAGCAATAGTCCTAATTTTCTTTTACAAAGCATGAAACTAACAAAATAAAAATTTCCACTCCTGTTTCTTGAAAACTGCTTTACCATGAATAAAATTATCTATACTACAAATATGAATTCTTTAATTTCTTTTGAATGTGCTATAAATTATTCATGATATATTAAACAAGGTCTACAGTACCATAAGGTCAATAGGTAATAATGACATACAGTATAAATATTATTAGCGCTTAGGTAAATAAATGTGTGCCGAGCAAGAATATAAACTAATTAAAATATCACTACTGTGCACTGGTACATTATGACTAACACATTTTATAGGACAGTAAACACGATGTAATCCACACTACAGTTTTGGTGACATCACAAATACATTACCAAAACAACTGAGAATGTCATGCATAGTGTAATAACTCATCAGCACAATGCTATCTTCACCATCTCTACAAATACTGTACTTAAGAGCAAATAAAGCAAAACTTTTACTACATAAAATTACTATATTTTGGTTTAACATTAACATAAAGATACTACAATGTTGATAACTTTGCAGCAAGTACCATCAAATATATAATTTAATTGTATAATGCAGATGTTCAATTTCCTTACTTGCACAAGTAAAACAAATGGGAGCTTCAGTGCTCTTCAACTGTGCAGAGAAATTTAATTATCAATAATTGTCTTCTTCACAGATGGAAATATAAAAATGTGTTACCAAAGTTTGATGGATAAATGCTCTAACTTGCTAACAAGTCACACATTTCAGCATGAGTAAATAAAGAAAAAGCATATGATACTATCAAAATAAATCTGAGGTTAAACTATAAATTTCACAGTGCAGTACATAAAAAGCATTTGTGTGTATCTATGTAACCTAAGATGTTCAACATGGGACAAGGTAAACTAGGCAGCAGTATCCCTTTAAAAATGTAAATGAAAATATCTGAGAATAAGTATAGTGTAAGATGTACATGAGCTAAGACTTACAGCTTCTACAGATGACAGTGGTATTTATGTGCTAATATCATTAATAAATGGTTAAGGATTACAAAGTTAAGGAACATAAAATACAAACTTTTGAGATGCCCTGCATTCATGAAATGAAGTGTGTATAAGAATAAAACACTTGGAAAATAAAGAATAAAAATAAACACTGAAAATAAAACACACATGCTTCATTGCTTAAAATGACTAATTAAAGTGCAACAACAAAAACTAACAAAATTAAATTATAATAAAGGGTCTTACATATTAACAATTCAATATAAACATCCTAGTCAGGAAATTATCATATCAATCTGAGTAAAACATTATATTGAACTTCATTATGCTACTGTTAGTAACCTAAGGTTAGGGTATTTACAATAAAAATTAACTTTACAAATTTATTAACCAATACGAATGCCACAGATTTCAAATAAGCAATTACTGCAAAGTTTGATTACATTAAAGCACATTCTATTAGGCTAACATCAAACTGCTTTGCCTGATTTCACATACACTCCTGCCATCTGAACTTATTACAGTTTTAAAATAGTAAATTTATTTTCTGATATCTTTGTGCCTAATCTTTACTGTTCCTAAAATGTTTGCATTCATTCATTTATTTACTATTACACATAATATTTTCTTGTACTACCTGCTCAACTATATTCTATTTTAATAAAAAGCAATTAAATTATTCCATATTAACCAGAAGTGGCCACTAGGAAACAAAAAAAGCCCAGAACAACAAACTTTGAGTCAACTTTTATTCTCATTTACCCTCTACTATTTATAATATCTCTACCATATTTAAGAGTGAATAAGTAATCCTATTTCAAGCACCACAAGACTTTCTTCCCATCTTCCCTTAAGTCATCATCCACATGTAGATACGTGAAAAAAATACCAGAGAAAAAATAACAATAAAATTGGCAGTCCTATTGCATGTGGAGACACCACCTGAGAAACTAGAAAGGAGAAAGAATATGAGTACATTTTACAGCTTACAAAGTAACCTATAAAATGTACTCGAGGAAACCTTTCTGAATCCACCAAAGGATATGTCATGGAAGATGGCAGAAACATCCTAACCCACTTCATACTTAGTAAATGTAATTGAATTGCTTTACTTATTTTCAAATATTTTTTTTGTACATTACGTGATGCCATTGTAAAATAATTACTTGTATTCTGAAGTTCTAATAGCCAAAGTCAAGTAAAGTGCATCTCAAAGCTATGAGCCCTCTCACTATTTCTCTCGTAGATATGAGTTTCAATCACAGCACCCCAAATTTGCTGCAGTGGGTAAATTTTGTCTAGACAAGAGAGAATGAGTGTGTGGTGGGTGTGTATGTTAGGAACAGCTAGCCTCTGACTATTTTTGCTAGGTCTGATTTATTTTTTGGGATGATCAAGAATTCTTTATAGATTCTATTAGCCAAGAAATAGGGAAAAATTTAATTTTTTGCGAGAGAATGGATTCAAAGTGGAGGGCAAGTGATACATAGGAAAGGTCTCAAGACATGATTAATGAACAGATGAAAGATTGCTTTAGTACCTGGACTGCCTACAGTGTTCATTTTGCACTCTGTTTTTAAACAGGAATCTGCTAAATTGTGTGTAAAACTGGCCACATTACCTAAAGTACTTCTGCCATTTTATAGGGTAGTTCTGAAAGTTGAATGGGTAGTTTCTTGCACTTAACTTATAGAACAGAAGGCATACTAGCAAAACAGCCAGGAATTTGGCAAATTTGAGCATGTAATTTGACAAAAAATGGGCCTTATAAAGGGGAAAAAAATCACAGATGTGTATATTTCATTAAATCTGTGTAATTTCACAAGTTATACCAAATTTCACATTTTTTAGGTCATTACCTTCAGAAAAAAAAATTCTACCATTACAGACACTTTTTTTTTTTTAAATCATGACAGTGAAAGGGTTAAGTGGCTTAGGATGTTTCCAACTAATTCCATGAGATGTTCCTTAGGAGGCTCACAAATGTTATTGCCACCTTTTGTAACTAATTAGAAGTGCTATTCTTGTTTTTTATTTCTAGTTCCATGACAGTTGTGTAAATGAAAGTGCTCAGGTATTTCCACCAGGCCCTGATTGAAGGAGAAACTTAGCAATCCATTACAAATAGGTATCGTACCAGATAAATGGCAAATGTTATACCCATTTACAAGTACAAGACAGGGGCCTTAACTTCAAATTATAGACCAATCAGCCTAATTCAAGTGTGGGAAAGTTGATGGAATCAAATGTAGATGCAATTCAAAGCTGCCACCACAAAAGATATATTTGGATTAATGAATCTCAACACAGTTTTACAAAGGGGTATTTTTGCCTTATGAATATATTAACCTTTTTTAACCAAGGTATCTGAGGTGGTAGATTAAGATAAAGAATATGTGTACAATTTATGAATATGGATTACAATAAGGTTTTCAAAAAAGATCTAGACAGGAAACTGACAAAGTAGCAGCACATGGAACAGGAGATATCTCGTGGGTTGAGGCATGGCTGAACAAGAGAGAACAGGGTTTGTATTAATGGAGAGAACAGAAAGGGGACCTGTCACAAGTGGTGTGACACAGGGATCTGTGTTGGGACCCTTGATGTTCGCAGTCTACATAGCAACATTGAGAGAATAAACAGCAACATCAATAAGTTTGTCTGTGACACTGAATTAGGCTATCAAATAATTTCTGATGTGGACACTAGAAGACTACAGTATGTAGAGGTATGATCCTAGATAAAGAAAATGATTGATGGATACAATGTGGGTCAGTGGGCTACCAGCAGCAATAGCCTGGTAGACAAGCCTGGGCCATTGTGCAAGAGTAGGAAAACTCTTGACACCCATCAAAGAAACACACAGTATACAAATTTTTATCAAAACTGCCAATTTTCCTGCAACACTTGATAAGAGAATTTAGTGAATGCCTAAGAACAGATATTTGACTGATCTTCCTTATATCCTGAGAGAGAGAGAGAGAGAGAGAGAGAGAGAGAGAGAGAGAGAGAGAGATAGAGAGAGAGAGAGAGTGAAGAGAAGATAGAGATAGGAATGAGAGAAGAGAGAGATAGATAGAGAGAGAGATAGAGATAGAGAAGATAGAGATAGAAGAGATAGAGAGATAGAGATAGAGATAGTAGAGAGAGAGAGAGATAGAGAGAGATAGAGAGAGATAGAGAAGAGATGAGAGAGAAGAGTAGAGAGATATAGAGATAGAGAGAGAGAGAGATAGAGAAGAAAAGAGATAGAGATAGAGAGATTAGAGATGAGAGAAGAGAAGAGAGATAGAGGAAGGAGAGAGATAGAGAGAGATAAGAGAGTAGAGAGAGAGAGATAGAGAGAGAGATAGAGAGAGAGATAGAGAGAGAGAGAGAGAGAGAGAGAGATAGAGAGAGAGATAGAGAGATAGAGGAGAAGAGATAGAGAGAGAGAGAGAGATAGAGAGATAGAGAGAGAGGAGAGATAGAGAGAGAGAGAGAGAGAGAGAGAGAGATAGAGAGTAGAGAAGAGAGAGTGAGATAGAGAGAGAGAGAGAGAGAATGAGAGAGAGAAGAGAGAGAGAGAGAGAGAGAGAGAGAGAGAGATAGAGAGAGAGAGAGAGAAGAGAGAGAGAGATAGAGAAGAGAGAGAGATAGAGAAGAGAGGATAGAGAGAGATAGAGAGAAGTAGAAGAAGAGAGAGGAGAGATAGAGATAGAGACAGAGAAGAAGAGAGAGAGAGAGAGAGAGAGAGAGATAGAGAAAACAGAGA